TAGACATAGACATAGACATAGACATAGACATAGACATAGACATAGACATAGACATAGACATAGACATAGACATAGACATAGACATAGACATAGACATAAACATAGACATAGACATAGACATAGACATAGACATAGACATAGACATAGACATAGACATAGACATAGACATAGACATAGACATAGACATAGACATAGACATAGACATAGACATAGACATAGACATAGACATAGACATAGACATAGACATAGACATAGACATAGACATAGACATAGACATAGTTGCATTTTTTATCAGTCGCCAAATGTTGAAACTATGGATAATTAAAGTTAGATTTTGAATTGCGTGTAAACGACATCAAAAGAAGAGCTTGTTGAAGTGTAACCGACTCATGTGGGTTATTTCAGTACCAGCTGCCTCATATTGCTGGTGCGGAATATCGACATTTGTTATATATATATATATATATATATATATATATATATATATATATATATATATATATATATTCTTGTTTTAATATATTTGTATATAGACATATATATATATATATATATGTATATATATATATATATATATATATATATATATATATATATATATATACATATGTTTGTGTGTGTATATATATACATGTATGTACATATATGTGTATATATACATATATATAAATATATATATATATATATATATATATATATATATATATATATATATATATATATATATATATATATATATATATATATATATATATATATATATATATATATATATTAAGTGCCGCACCAGGTGACACACACTACGCCACTGTATTAAACAATATATTTCTCAAAAACAAAAATTAAGTTAAAAAATGTAGTAAAAGGAAATGGCGACACGCGTTAGAGATCTGATTTCAATTTATTTTAATAATTACTTAAACTTTTTTAAAAATAGATCGAACTTCGTAGAAAAAAAACGAATTTTGCTCCAATTACACATCAAACAATGAGTACGAAATATTAGTTGTTTTTTATTGGTTTATTCACGTTTTTGAGACAATGGAAATAACGTAAATTGTTATTTCCGTTCAACAAAAATTACTGGAAATTCGACAGAAGGCAGAGAAATAGAAATTGCATGTGAAATGTGAAATTGCATTTCTCTATATGAAATAATACTCAAGCTTTTGAAAAAAAAATTAAAGGACAATAAGTTCCACTTCAGGTTACCGAAAAAAAAAAGCTGAAAAGTTGACACAGAACTACACATTTAATATATAACTCTTATATAAAATTTTATCCATATAGCTATAACGGTACTCAAGTTATCGTGTTTACAGACATACAAACACACTCACGTACACACACACACGCAAACACACAGAGACATGTTTACAAAATTACAAAACTATGTTTATTCAACTTCAAGAAGTAAATATTGAAGAACAACAAATATTAACCAAAGTAAAATGAAGTTCGTTATGCGAAAAACAAATGATTTTAAGTTTTTAAAATAAGAAACAACAATTAGAACTTTACAAAAGTTGCAACTATAAACGAAAGCTTTTTAAAAAAAATCAGTAAATAACAACACTAAAAAAGCAAACTGCTCGTTATAAATTGCAACATTGCAAAAATTGCTTCAACACTACACCGTCTGTTATTAAATGGTTTGCTCATTTGATGACTCATCTAAAGTGGATGAGGGTAACTTAAAAACCAGATTGTTAGCTAGATTAAAAGGACGTGCAATTAATCAGCACTTAGGGTACAGTTTTTTGTTTGTTTTGTTTGTATATAAAGTGTGCAATTTTATGTTAGTTGTCGTTGTCATTGAACATAATTGAAGTTGTGGTACAAAGTTCTTCTTTACTATGTAAGTGTAGACCAATAATTTTACGTGGCGGTGTTCTGTTTTTTTAATATATATATATATATATATATATATATATATATATATATATATATATATATATATATATATATATATATATATATATATATATATATATATATATATATATATATATACTACTAAAAGTCAAGTTTGTTTACATGTTTGAATATTTTTTTTTGTTTGTTTGTTTGTTTGTTTGGCTGATTGACTAATATGATATGTTCTACTCTATCTGGAGAGCTGTAAAATAGTATGTAGGTAGAAAATAATTTTTTAATGCAGACAGACTGTTAATCACAAATTTATTTAAAGACGTTAATTAATTTATTGATTTATTCATACGTATATTAACCACAATTTTTAAAAAAGATTTGAATAGCCACTAGACTCGACGGAAACAGTGACGTCACATGATGTGTTTATTTTTTTACATCGATAATGGCGGCCTATCGAAGAAGATTGTGTTCCCATTCCAATGTTTAACGCGTTCTAAAGCTAATTTTCTGTCGGCTTTAACTTTAACAATACGTCCGTTTGCTGTATTTATTACGTTCCAACACTTATATCAATTTTCAACTGTCTTTTTTCATTTAGTTTTACAATAAATTTCTCTAGATCTAAAGATCAGCTGTCGAAGGAAAGTTATGAATCTAGCCTAGATCTAGATCTAGCCTAGACCTAGGTCACTAGACTCAATGTAAATTGCAGATCTAGACTTAATGTAAAATCTACATCTAGAATCTATTTCAGGCCTTAATACATCTAGAATCTATTTCAGGCCTTAATTATTTTATATAAATCTTTGTTTGGCTAATTTAAGATAAAATTTAATTTGAAAGTTACTACTACTAGACTTAGATCTAGATCTAGATCTATGCGCGTAAATCAAGTTGCATAAGGAGACTCAAAGTATAGTATAAAAATTCATTTGTGACGTCACGAGTAAATAGCTAAGTTGGTAGTGTAGTCGGCTCTCATGCGGGTGGCACAGGTTCTAGACCAGGGGTCTCCAAACTACGGCCCGCGATGTCCTCTCATCCGGCCCGCGGAGATATTTTAGTCCACGGAAAAAACGTTTGTTGGTGATGGCTGAGGAACTTTGCTCAGAAAAATTAAAGACATTCCCAGAAGAAACTGGCCCCCGAACTGAAATTTGATAGTTAATGCGGCCCTCGGACTGAAAAGTTTGGAGACCCCTGTTCTAGACCAATATATCAATGATATTTTTTTTTCAATTTTTTTTTTTAGATGTGAATGATAAAGTTGCCTATCTGAACTTGCAGGATACAGGGCAGGTGAAGTAGAGTTCATCTGTTTCTTTGTCCTAAGCATATGAAAGGATAGTGTGGTCAGAGACATGCTAGGCTGGAATCGTTTTTTAAACGATAAAAACATGTCTGAGACTTGGCGGGACACTGGGCAGGTGAAGTAGAGTTGAGTAGGTCACCTGTGACGTCAGTATATGAAGGGATAGTCCGAAATCGGTGTTTTCGGTGTTTTTAAAAGATTAATTGTTATAGTTGCCACAGGTTTTACTCTTTCGCATAACGTAAGGAAAATAAAAAATTCTCGCCCATTGCTATAACATAGGGACATTTAATCATTTCTATAATAGAAAAGAAACTGGATTTTCATTTTCTTTTTTAAATTATTTATACAAAACAAATAATGAAATTGCAATGTAAAAGTTTTAATTGTTTAAGAGGGAAAGGGGCTCCTAAATGCCTTGGGTCCCTATGCCTTTCTTACGCTAGCTTTACGGTAGCTACGCCACTGAAACAGAAACATAAACAGAAACAAAACGGAAACAGAAACGAAAATAGAAACAGTATTACAATGCAAACTAAAATGCAAGTTCAGAAGAAAAATGAAACACTTATTTTCAAGCGAACAGGCTAAAAAACATGTTGTACTTTAGCACGTACGTTTATGATTAATTCGTTGATATGTTGACAAAAAAAAAACTTGATTGTGATTGGTGGAACCTTTAACACTTTGAACTAAACATAATAAAAACTATTTATAGACTTACTTGTTTGGCAATTTGCATCGTTCACAATTACTATAATATGTAGAAATTCAGCGCATTCTAAATATTAGAACTAGTTATTTAAAGTGAAAAGTTCTAAGATTTATTTTTCTTCGTCAATTGTGTATCTCTGATAAAAAGGACCCTAGATTTTCATGAAACGAAAAAATATTCGTTCATTTTGCATGTTGATGTTCAAATATATTTGCTTGGTATGATACTCTTCAACCATACCATTTTGTTATTGTATATCGAAAAGACTTTTTTCCCTTGCACTTCCAAGAACAACTTGATTTTATCTTTCAAAAACATGAATCACAATACTTCCTTTTGACATCCAGCGTCCTGCAGTGTAGAAAAGCAAAATATTTTATCTTATTCATGTATTGGCTAAGTTCTTTAAAAAGACAGATTTAACATTATATACGACTTTTAATAACTATAGAACCAAAAGAGTCTTGCTGGCGAGGGCATAGCGGTGAATCATGAACTTGATTCCCCTTGGTTAGGGAGCTAAATCTGTATTCTAAAAGCACGATTTTGACCCTAACATAGATGGTGCACCATCAGTAAAAACACCATAGCCGTTTTCCTATTTTAATCATTCAGTTTCAGAAAGCGCATTTGTTTTCTCGTTTTTGCTATATGAATGAATATATTTCACAAATTCAAGCAATTGCGGACACGAACTTGTCTGTTTATTCAGCATCTTGAAAAACAAACGATGGTGAAGTTTAACTTCATTTAAAAAGTGTTCTTCAACATCTACGGTCGTATATGCATTAGCCACTGAATAGTATTATTAGACAAAGCTAAGTGTTGCGAGGATTTAGTCTACAGTTCGCGAACTCCCTAATATCTGCAACTATTTTTGCCCAACGGTGACTAGAAGATATATATATATATATATATATATATATATATATATATATATATATATATATATATATATATACATATATACAATATAAAGTTTATTGGGTCTGTTTTTAATATGTAAACTACGTTACTTTTAAAAATCAAGATTTTATTCAACAAAAAGTAATAAAGTAGTTTTTTATTGTGTTGTTGCATTGTAGATTGAATTCAAGAATGAACTCCAAAATTACAATATCTCTGTGTACTCTACTAGCACTGATATCGTCAAGTAATGGTAAGCATTGAATTGTCAACAGAAAAATAAACACAAACTCTTCACAATCCAACGAATTTCTAATAACAATGAGCAAAGTTAACGTTTATTATTATGTAAATTTTATCGACATGAGTGATTATTTTTTTTTTTACAAAATTGTAAAGTTATAAGATAATAAAATATTACAAATTATACTCAGTTGTGTATAACTAAGTTAATATTATTTTATTATGGTGATGTCTTAGGATTGGAGTCTGCTTCAAATCAGTTGTGTGGCTTGGTCACAACTCTGCTCAATGATCTCGAACCACCTCTGCTTGAACAAGGATCTTATTCTTGCGGGAATTCTGATAACTACCAAGCATCTGGAAAAGCTCGTCTTCATGCCCAGGCAGTCACATTTACTAAGCCTTTCAAAAATCCACCTATTGTCACGGTGATTTTAAATGGTTTAGATATGTGGAACGCCAAACAAATTAGGTATTCGTTTTATGCAAGAAACGTCACAGCAACTGGAATGGAACTTGTCTGTAGTACCTGGGAAGACAGCCAATTTAACTATGCAGGTCTAACTTGGGTTGCCATTGAGGTGTAGATGAATCCAAAAATAAGTTATCGTCTACCAAAGTGAAAGTCAAGTAATCAGCAATTTACAATGTTTGATAAAAAAAAGTATTGTAAAAATTGCTCTAAGTGAATAAAAATATCTGTTTAAATTTTGCTGTAGTTGCTATTTTTTTCATTATTGTTTACGTTAATTTGTCGTAAACAGCTATTTGCCAGCTTTAGATATTCCAGAAAGTTTAAGGGAGATCACGTACGTTTTATTTTAAATTTAGATTAACAACACGTTTAGATGTACCATAAAGTAGTATTTTTGAAATTTTCAAGTTTGTTATACAAAGCTAAACTAGCTTATCAGTTGGAAATTTAAGAATTTATAAGATAGACAACATTAACAAACGTTTATAATTATGCTATCAAGAATTTGTTACAAATAAACCAGGAGTAATCTCCCTTAAACTGTCTCAAGCATTATATAAAACGACGGGAGATGGCTCTTTGGGATATACACTTGGTTTTTAATCCATTTTTTAATTACTTAAACTTTTTTTAAAAAAGAGAATAGAATCTCGTAGAAAACATAATTCCGCGCCAAGTGAAAGCCAAATAATCTCTATATAATAGTGCGGAATATTATTAGAACTTTATAAATTTAAATGCGTTTTGGAGTAATCGGAATAAGCATAAATTGCTACTTCCGGTTATCATAAATTACCCAAATTTTAAAGAAACCAGTGAATTTAGATTAGATATTGTACTTACGTATGAAAATGTATGTATCTGTTTGAAACAGTACGCAATTTATAGGCTTTAAAAATTTAAAGTAGAGTAAGTTCCACTTTCGGTTACCGGGAATCGCTGAAAAGTTGATATAGATCAACACATTTGATACAATACGTAAAAACGAAACTTTATCAATGAAGCTGTAACGGTACTTAAGTTATCGTGTTTAAAGACACACATACACACAAACACACTTACAAACACAGACATACGAACAAAATTACAAAACTATATTTTTCAGTCTCTTGGTTTTGTAAATATCTCTATTTTTTTTTTTTGCGCCATTACAACACTTCCTCTTTACTTCGTTTGCGAGAAAATAAAAATGAGTAAAACCTAATTGGAAGAAAAAAGCAGAAAAACGAAAAAGTAAAGTTATTATCTTAATAATTGACAGACATGATGATTTAACGAGATTCCGCGGGAATAAAAGGTCTAAAGAAATATGTTAAAAAAGTTTCATTAATGCGTTACCAAACTTTAGACTAGTGACATATGTTTTTTTTTTAAACAGAGTTATTTAAATGTATAGAATGCCTGCACTTGGATCATAAATATCGTGAAACTACCACATTAAAAACGTAAGTGTACGTTAATTATGTATCGAAATAATGAAGTAGAACACACTTTGGTGACCGCCCGTGTGTCAGGGACGTAGAAGGGACCACACGATTACACAACAGCAGAAGCGAAGCATAAGGCCCCTGGCTCCTTAAAACTAACTTAGGCGCCATAAGGCTCGCAGAATAATCCAAAGAGCCACAAAGCATCCTAAAAAATTTATGATGCAGATAGCGCTATTTGCTAAATTTACACAAAGAAGCAGGACCTTTTCTGTAGCAAGAATAAAAGATTGTATTTTTGTTTGTGTTTGCATTGTGTTTGTGTTTTCTTTTGCTTTTTGTTTTGTTTTGTTCCCGAGTTGGTACATTTACAAAAGATTCACTTTGTTGGAGCACGGGATTTTTTAATGCTGGTATTAAATTGTTGTTTTATTTGTTTATCTTAAAACGGCAAATGTGAAGATGGCCTCCGTGCCTACTATTGTTACCGTAATTGAATAAATAAATAAATGAAAATAAATGTGACTACAATTCGTTCCGTGACACATTATCGTTTGCTAGCGCAGTGTCAATAACAATGTTGAACACATATTTGAAGATTAAATTATTGCAAGCATTGTAGTCATCTGATTACATGCATGTGGTCAATTTTTTTTTCAGGAAAAATAATTCAACCTGTTTATCAGTAGAATGAACACGTATTTGTGACATTGTCGCCTCCTGATTTTTTGCTGCTAGTTGAGTAGCTTTGGTAGTATTAATTTACTCGCATGAACACACTTTCTTTATCCAAATACAATTTTAAAATTCCATCCTTTACCAACCACTCCCTATTGGTAATAAGCTCAATATAACACATTAAATTCCTACTCAGTTAAAACAGAACTACAAATAGCAAGCTCATTACAAATAATTTAAAATGAAAATTTACAGATCAGAATTTTAATTAGATGAAGGAAATGTTTTGTACCGAGCAGAAATTATTTGTTTATCTTGGCAGATAGAATAAAAACTAAACCAACACCATACGAAGTAATTGTAATTTCGATTGTTTTTATTTTAAAAATTTCGCCTCCTTTACTAGGTAGGTATTTTAATTACAACATTTTATTGACAATTATAATTTCGATCGCCAATTAATACTTTGTTTCCAGCATAGTGAAATGAAGATCACGTTAGCTATTGAACGCTGTTGAGAGTTTGCATTGAACTTTTAATTATGTTTTATTTGCTGAGATGGGTTTTATATATATGGCAAAAAAAAAGGTTTCTAAAAACACCATTCGAAGTGCATTGAAAACGTGGCGACGGGAAATTTGTAATTTTATAGCAGTTAAAAAGCAATTCTGCATCGGTATTTTAACTTGATCTTTAACTAAAATTAAAAAATAATTGTTTAAATAAAACCACGTTGAATAGTTTCAACAGTTTTAAAGTCCCTCTAAGTATTACGTTTATGTATGTGAAAATAATTTTTAAGTGCAACGTTCTAAATTCAAACGTCAAGTAATCTGTGTTAATGCGTTTCCAATGCTTTGTTGGATATAGTATCTTAACGTATCCACCGTTGAACCACCTCTGATAAGCGACGAACTAACACGTCACATCTTCAGAATCCTTATGCTCATCGTCACCCCGACTATCGCTATATTCGGCATCACGGGAAACGTCATGAGCATCACAGTCCTCATCAAGCACGGCTTGCACAAGTGTTCCAACATTTTACTGGTCTCCCTAGCCTTCTCCGACATCACGTACCTCATCTCCTTCAACAGCGTGCCTAAGATCTTCTACGAGGCGGTCAACGACCACGAGTTCCTCGGCTTCAACGTCCAAGAGGCGAGTGTCGTCTTCTTCTTCTTCAGCGTCTTCAACTTCCTGGACTACTCTGTTGGGTTGATGAGCCTCGTCTTGCCTATGTTGATAACAATTGAAAGACTTGTTGTGATATTTCTTCCTTTAAGTTTTAAACGCGTCATCACACCTAAACGAACCTGGATTGCTGTTATCTCACTTGAGGCGTATTTCTTCTCAATTTGCCTTTATACAACATTTTGGTTTGAACTTGACTATACTACAGACACACGCAGAGACGTTTCTGTAGGTCTTATTAAAAGGTCAACATTTTTCTACGATCATCTACCATCAGTCGAAATAATCCAAAATATTTTAGTTTATTCTAGTATAATCATCCCTCCAATTTTTACCGCTGTTGGTTGTATAATAATCTCAATAAAAATACAGATAACATCAACAAAACGAAGGAAACTAACATCGAAATCTAAAAATAGCAACAGAACAACGCGCATGCTCTTAGCTGTATGCGCAGTCTACATATTCACGATAACCTTTCTCTCACTGCCGATATACATTCCCGAATACGCGTCATACTCTCTTACCGATGAAGCGCCCTCTAACGTCGGTAAACTGTTTTATCAACTTGTCAACATAGTGGGTTGTATCAACAGCTCTACTGACTTTATCGTCTACATTGTGCTCAACAAGAATTTTAGAGCCACCTACCAGGTAATGATGGGATGTCGTGAAAAAGTAAAAAGATAAACATATTCTACATCGGCATGAGGTATAATTCAATGTCTGAAAAAACCTATATGGAATACTTCAATCGAATTAGTAACGAGCCAAACTTTAATAAATGCGAAATCAGAAGCCAATTTATGTTAATTACATTTTTATTTTCGGGTTAAGAATGAACTTCCTTTAAAGTCTAAAGTATACCTGCATTACGTCATTGTTTACCTTCTCAATTAGACATATTTTACCTGCACATTTTAAAAAATAAACGTTTAAATTTTAAAACATCGCTTTATTATGGTAAAACAACGTTTGAGCTTATGAGTTTCTCTTCTTTTCAATTAGAAGGAATGCTCTCGAAAGGGATTAGAATTAATTATGATTGATTATGAAGTTATCCAATATGTGTCGATACGTTTAATACATATTCGATTTCAATCTTCTAAATCCATCTGGGTAATTTTGTTAGGATTTTAAAGAACACCAAACAATACTGTTTTAAAATTTGAATTTACACTTTATTTCAAATTTCCGACTTCTTGACCATCAAAGTACCAATGGGCCTCACCAGTTGTTACATGTAGTGCCAGAACTAATAGGGCAGCTGACCAATGTAGTTGCCCCTGTAATAAATCATGCCAAAACAAAAATGTTAAATAAAAATATAAATCTTTATTTCTTTATTTTTATCAAATATTTTGAAATAATTATTTTTAATAAAAATATTGCTATCTTTTATCAAATGTAAATACTTAAATAACTATAAAAATTGATTATATATATATATATATATATATATATATATATATATATATATATATATATATATATATATATATATATAAAAGTTATTTTTTTACCCGAGGCCTACATATATATATATATATATATATATATAAAAGTTATTTTTTTACCCGAGGCCTACATATATATATATATATATATATATATATATATATATATATATATATATATATATATATATATATATATATATATATATATTTATGCAACCAAGAGATGGTTTGTTATTTTTTTTACCCGAGGCCTACATATATATATATATATATATATATATATATATATATATATATATATATATATATATATATATATATATATATATATATATATATATATATATAAAAGT